TTTTCTTCCTGTCATCTCTCTTAACTGTCCAGTTCTCACATCACACATTGTAATAAGGAATGCAATGGCTTGCATGATTCTGACTTTTGTGCTGAGTTGTATGTCTTTGCATTTTAGGATCTTTTCTGGTTCTTTCATAGCCACCCTCCCCATTCTTAGTCTTCTTCTCATTTACTGACGGCAGTCCCCATTTCTATCAATGTTTGATCCCGGGTATGGGAATTCTTTTACTATTTCTATTTCATCATTGTCTAGGTTGAACTTGTGAAGGTCTTCAATTACAGCAAGCTTATGAATTTGGAATATATGCTATTTTCTAAGCTGCCCTGCAGGAGGCAGCAGAGATAAGTATTTCTTCACATCCTTTAATTGTCCTGCTGGCATGTCTGAAGCCAAAAGTCAAAATGTTTCTTCCAGTGTTTCCACAGTTATTGTTGTTAACTGCCATCAAGTCGACTTTGACATATGAAGACCTCCAAGCCACCCTATCATCAACAGCCCTGCTCAGGTCTTGCAGACTCAGGGCTATGGCTTCCTTCATTGAGTCTATCCATCTGCAATGTGGTCTTCCTCTTTTCCTGCTGTCTTCTACTTTATCAAGCGTTCTTGTCTTTTCTAGCAAGTCACGTCTTCTCATGATATGACCGATGCACAACAGTCTCAGCTTAGTCAGTTTAGTTATCTTGACTTCTAGGGAAAGTTCAGACTTGATTCGCTGTGTGTTGTGTGCCTTCAAGTCATTTCCAACTTATGGTGATCCTAACATAAGTGGGGGTTTTTTGGACAAGATTTGTTCAGAGGAGGTTTGACATTCCCTTCCTCTGAGGCTGAGAGCAAATGATTTGCCCAACCAAGGTCACCCAATGGGTTTCATGGTCAAGCGTGAATCAAACCCACCCTGGTCTCCAGAGTTGTAGGCCAATGCTCAGACCACTATACTATGCTGAGACCCATTTATTTGTCTTTTTAGTTGTCCGCAGTATCTGTAGAACTCTTCTCCAGCACCACATTTCAAATTATTTGATTTTCTTCCTATCAGCTTTCTTCCCTGTCCAGCTTTCATAATCATGCATAGAAACTGAAAAGAGGGGAAGAGTTTCCTGTGCTTTCTTTCTCTCTGTTGGCAAGACTCTGGGTTTCATTCTTGGCCCTTCGCTTTGCTCATGCTCTACACACTGTTCCTGGGGTGACTTCCTCAAATCCAATGGCTTTTGGATTCACCATTACACTGATGACACCCAGCACTACTCCTATGCTCCCAAACCAGAGCTTGGGAAGCTAAATTTTAAAAGTTAGTGTGTTGGTGTTGTTTTCCCAAAAGAAATATTTTGCTTATTACTCTAAGAAGAACCTGTTACTTATGTGTTGCTTCTAATTATTTTTTTAAAATAATAATAATAATAATAATAATAATATACGTTTTACAACATTTAAAAGGCATAAGAAATAAGAAATATCGCACAAAGGCCCAACATTTTGGAAGTGACAAGTGGACACTATCTGTTACTTCCCCAAATTGTAACACTACCAGCCTTTATGCTATTTCCTTTGCTTTGGCCTTGTTCCTCCTCTGTACCAAAGTAACATATTTGAGATGCCACAAGGTGCACTTTAGAAATAATGCAGTTTGACACAATTTTAACTGCCATGTCTCCATCCTATAGATTACGGGGATTTGTAGATTTGTGAGGCACCAGCATTCTTTGGCAGAGAAAGAACTTGCAAAACTACAAATCCCCTGGTTCCATAGGGTGGAGCTATTAAAGTATGGTATCAAACTGCATTGTTTCTACAGTGTAGATGCACCCAAAGTCACTTGTAGAAGCATACTTCCATGCTCTGCCCAGAACTGGCCCTTCTCAGGCGTCCCACTTCTATAATAGCCTTTCTGATATTCCTGATTGGATT